TTAGAAACATTGGGGTAAGTTTCAGTGGGTCCCATCTGTAAAATATCTCCGAAATTATTAGAGTTTACCATGGTGGTTTGTTCTGTCTTGTAGTTAAAAATGTCATCCACGAAGAAGTCTCAAGATATGAGAAGCAGTATCGAGGCAAAGAGCTCCTGGGCTTCGTCAACTACAGGACGTTTGAGACCATCGTGAAGCAGTACCTGGAACGGCTGGTGGACCCGGCGGTCGTCATGCTGCAGAAAGTCGTTGGTAGGAGCTCTCCTGCCTGCTGTACCTCCCGTGGGTGCCAGGGCCTTGGGGGGGGCGGGAACGGAATGATCGGACACAGGCTGCGGATTCTAGCAGCCTCGGGGGGAGGATGAGTATGTGTGAGCTTTATCTGCATCATAGCTGGGCCTCTGTGCTGCTGTGCGGGGAGCAGTCCCGTGCTAACCCTGTAGAGGACACACCCAGCAAAAGGCCAGGAAACCCAGGGACCTGCTCAGGGTGGCGGTGACAGTGGGGTTGAGAGCCGTCCCCCCTTCCCCCTTGGTCTGTGGATCTGGGGAGCTCAGCCCCAGGACGGGGACAAGGCGTCATGATCCATCCACCCTGTGTCTTCAGCCCGTTTCTTCCTGGCTGCAGTTCACTGCCGTTTTGCTTTCTTTGCTCAGAGACTGTCTGGCACACTTTCACCGACACAGCCAGAAAACACTTCAGTGAGTTTTCCAACCTCAATCAAACTGCCCAGGTGAGTGCCTGCCGTTTACCTGCTGGTCACCTGTACTTCGGGCTGACCCACCGGGTCTAACAGGTGAAGGAAGCTAGACATGTACTGTCCGTTGGAGACAGGAGGCCAGGGTGACGACTGCAGGGTAGCGGGGCTGGCGACTCCAGGAGCGGCGGCCCTTTGGCTCCTGCTCAGGAGAGGCCCCCTCCCTGGCGAAGGAGACCAAGCGCGCGCCCGGGAGCTCTCTTTCCCGCGAGCCCCCCAGCCCGGCGGGGCGCGGGCTGGCCGGTGACACCCGAGCCTGTCACTGAGCCGAGGGACTGGCTGGGGCTTGGAGTCTCCTCCCAGCACCAAGGACAGCGTGTCTGCGAGGCCGACCCCAAAGCCTTCCACGCCTGACTTAAAGACCTCGCCAGGGCTGTGTGCGTCTTCAGTCAGCAGCCGGCAGTTCTCCCCGAGCCCCTGTCTCAGTAGAGGGGAGCGAGGGCTGTCCTGGCTCCCATTCGGGTTGCGATTAAAACCCTCTTCTGCCCAAGCCTCGGCTGACGGGTCCGAGTCTCATCCCGCATCAGCTGAGCCAGGAAAACCGGTTCTGTCATTCTCTATCGCAAAACAATTTCTTCTTTCACCTCTTTGGCCAGTTGGTGAAAACTGAACTTCATTTCTGAGCCCTCTCTCTGCCTTTCCCAGAGGCTGTGCCCAAGTCCCGGGGCACCTCCTCAGGGGGTGGGTGACAGGCCGGCAGCTTTCAAGATGCAGGCAGTCCCCCGAGGGCCTGGGCGGCTGGTGCCCTGGGAGCCTCGTGCTCCTGCCTGCGCGGTCGGTCCTGCTGAGCTCTGGCCCAGCCCTGCCAGGGCCCGGGCTCCCTGCAGCAGCACAGGCTGCTCCCGGGACGAGGAGACAGCTGGCGCCCAGGGGCCTCCGTCCCCTGTGCCGTCCTGGAAGTCTGGGCACAGCTCCGGGGCCACACTGCCCCCCACGGTGACCGGGCTCCCACCCGGACACGCTCCCCGCCATCTGCTCTCTGCCCCAGAGCAGCATCGGGGCCCAGGGTCTCGTGTCCTCCGTTTCACTCCTCGTGGGAAGTGACACACGGCCCACTCCTGCTCTCAGACTTCAGTCCTGGGAGCGGGGCTGCCACATACATGCTTTTGGCCACGCACTCTCCTCTCCAGAACAGAGGGGCAGCCTGCCTTCGTGAAGCTCACAGGCTCCCTCTTCTCTCCAACCACTCTCTCCGCCCCCAGCATACGAAAGTCCCGTGGAAACTCGAAAACCGAGAAGTGACTCCCTGCACTGTGCGTCCCCGCCCTTCCCGGGGCCTCTGCCTGTGCGGGGTCGCGGGAGTCGCAGGGCTTCGGGGAAACCCGGGTCTCGAGCTGCTGCCCCACCGCGGTCGTCAGCGCAGGAGTCCTTCTGAAAGCTTGGACCGAAGCCAGCCAGAGACCCCAGAGTGTGGACGCACAGACGCAGACTGAAGCACAGCTGAGGGAGCAGAAAGGCGGGGGTGTGGGAGGAGACGGAGGTCGGGGCGGAGGGAAAACCCAGGCAGCACGGAAGGCGGGCCTGGCCCGAGCCGCGGGGGAGCCGCCCGCAGGCCCGGGCAGGACGGCAGCGCAGGCCGAGCCGGGGCCTCCTGGAAGCCGCCACTGGCAGTCTCAGGCGCAACAGTGTTCAGCGTGACGGTACTTTCTCAGTCATTTTCACAGCAGGGGGACAAAAGAGAAGTAAGGTGTTTCTCTTTCTTATCCAACCAGAACAAGATCGAAGACATAAAAACACAACAAGCAGAAAGAGCAGAAAGGTTCATCCGACTGCAGTTCAAGATGGAGCACCTGGTTTATTGCCAAGACCAGATTTACAGCGTGGTTCTGAGCAAAGTCCGAGAAGAGATCTTCAACTCAGTGGGAAAGCCTTCCCAGAATCTTCAGTTGAAGTCAACCTCTTTAAGTGACCCGTCTTTGGTTTCCTCCATCACTGAGATCGGGGTCCACCTGAATGCGTACTTCCTGGTGAGTGTGCAGGTGCACAGGCCAGCACTGTGGCCCCTCCGAGCCGAGGCTGGCTACCCTGGTTGACAGCTGCTTACCTGAGCGAGGAGGGGAGGGGCACCGCTTCTGCTGTGACCAGTTTCTCATACGTCACCCCCTTGTAGTTGACAGTCCCCCTGTGGAGCCTGTGTTCATTACTTTGCCCCAAATCAGGTTCTCAATGGGGCAGAGCATGTCCTCAAAATTAATTCCAGCTCCAGAGCCGTATGTTTTATGCTATGCATAAATTACAAAACTGCTATCAGAATGCGGCAAAACACAGCAAGCACTAACTTTACTGGATACAGTTTTGCTTCCTTAACGTTCAGAAGGCCCTCAGCTCTTGAAGGCCTCGAATTCACTAGCTCCACATCAGGAATGGAAAAGCCTTTTCCTAGATGCTGCGACCCTGTCAGCTGCGTGGTTCCCGGCCCTCCGCCCACGGGCTAAAGGCTTAGGGTGCATAGAAAGGACGGTAGCTGTTAAACTGCAGGGAAGCCCAACTCCTGCAGTCCTTTCTTGATCAGAACAGAAAGTAGAGTCACCCAGATGTGGGGTCCAGCTGCCAGGCCACCTGGAGACGCTGAGGAAGAGAGGGAAGGAGGCAGCACTGGAGCAGTGCCACCAAACTCAGGTCCAGCTGCTCGCTGCGCGGAAGTCACTGTTCAAAGGCAAGTGTTGGTAGGAAGGAAAGGTGCCTTATCAGAAGGCCGGCAGTCTGGGGAGAAGGGAGGCTCAGGTCCCCCAAAACCAAGATTCTGCTCAGCCATGACAGGTTTTAAAGGGAGAAAAGGGAAGTGACCTCCGTACATCCCTGAGGCGGGAGGTTAGGCTCTGCGTCATTGCCCACTGCGTGCGGGCTGGTGCCTCCTTGTCCTCCTTCTTCAGTGTCACCTCGTCCACGTGGTCTGCCTGCAGGATTGCTAAGGGGGCTGTTGGGATAGAGAGCTGGTCATTCTTTAACTACTTAATTCTTCATTCCGACTTCTTTTAATCCAGGGAAAGATTCAACGCATTGCGTGCATTCCATGGAGCGTAAGTCAGGTGTCAGGCTAAATGTTACCTAGTGATCTCATTTGTGTAAGGTTTGACAGGAACAGAAATGGGCAGACAGGAAAGGAGCGAAAGAGCTGCTTACAGGAGATCCCGACTCACTCCCAGAGGCGCCCCGGGGTCCCGGGGCCGGGAGGTCTCTGCGGGGGGCTGAAGTGGGGGAGGGGGAGGAGCCCCTGGGAAGGCTGGGCTGTCCAGAAGGTGGTATGGGTGTGCTAGCCTACAGGCGGGCTCTTATTGCCAGAGGGCATGCCTGGGTAGCGAAAAGTGGGCAACTCAAGCAGATCCTTCCCTTGGTTTGGTGCTGACCCTGGAGTGGAGGTGGGCCTGACACCAGGACCTCCCAAGGCGTCCATCCATGCGTCCGTCCGAGAACTCCTCTCTGCAGCCACAGGCCTTGGGCTGAGACCCCTCCTGCTGACCCTTCTTCCCCCTTCCAGGAAACCAGCAAACGTCTTTCCAACCAGATCCCGCTCATCATTCAGTACTTTATGCTCCAAGAGAACGGCGACCACGTGCAGAAAGCCATGATGCAGACGCTACAGGAGAAACAGCAGTATTCCTGGCTGCTTCAGGAACAGAGCGACACCTCTGCCAAGAGGAGAGTCCTTAGGGAGAAAGTTCACCGGCTTGATCAGGCTCGGCGAGCCCTCTATCAGTTCTCACTCTGAAAGGAACAGGCTCCCGAAAGAACGGCGGTACTTCTGGGTTTTGCTTCTGTGTGTCACGGAAGGGAGGTGGCACGGGAAGTGGCTTCTCTCTTGGGGTCGGAGTTTTCTGTTACTGTCGGGGCCATCTTCACGGTCCTTCTCTCAGCACCAGAGTTTCTACCTGACGCGCATCCGTGCTCAGAGCTGTCTCCTCTGCCAGGAGGTCCTCCCCATCCTCCATGAAGAGGGAGCTCTGCAGCCCTTGTGTCCTGTAGCCTCCAGTTACAGCGTTCTTAAACACCGCTGCCATTCTTTGTTAATTTGTCACCCCTCCCCATTCGACTATGTGACCCCAGAGGAGGGGTAAGGTCAGCCTCTTGTTCTTTTGTATTTCCAGACTCTCACATGGTACGTAGCACATAGTAGCTCCTTATTAACTATCTCATCAAATAAGTGAATTGTGGAGATTCCCCAAGGGTACAGCTTAAATCCTGGCTTTGGTTGTTTGGGATGGTGTCCCTCAGCTGGTCCCTTGCGGATGAATTCGGTCATGACACCTGCTTCTCATCATTTGCTGTGATGGCGTTTCCCAGTCCCCCAGGAGAAAAGAGGCTGAGTGATACCTTTTTCCATTTGTATTGTTTTGTATTGTGTGATTTCCCATTTCTGCGTTGATTCTTAAAAAATTTTAATAAGGAGATCATTTTTTAAAAATACAGAGCTTCTGACCAGTGGTCATCTCTAGACTGGAGGGTCATGGCTAGTTTTATTTTCTTCTTCACACTAAGCGGTCATAGCTTCTCAGGACTTTAGGGAGGTGATGTGAAACCATGTCTGCAAACCATGTGCCCCAAAGCAGGTGTTCAAAAATGCCAGTAATTCTTCACTCTAACAAAGAGATCTTCTTGTTTTCTTTACCTCCTTGTCCACAGAGCAGCCCTCACTTCTAAAGCTCTTCCAGCCAGTTCCTACATTTAGGTCTTTGATAAGATTTCGAGTCTGTTTTTGTGCATGGTATTAGATAAGGGTCCAACGTCACTCTGTTGCATGTGGATGCCCAGTTTCCCAGCTCCCTTTGTTGAGAAGACTGTTTATTCATATTGATCTCTGCACCTTGTCAAATTCATTAAACATATGTGCCAGGATTTGTTTCTGGGCTGTCCTAGTTCTGTTCCATTGTTCTATAGGACTATCTTATGCCACACTGTTTTCGTAATTGTAGATTTGTAGTAAGTTTTGAAATCAGAGAGTGTTGGTCCTCCAGCTTTTTTCTTCCTTTTTTTTTTCATGACTGTTTTGGCTATTCGTTGTCCCTGGAAATTCGATAGGAATTTTCGGATGGGTTTTTCCTTCTGCAAAAAAAAAATGTCATTGGGATTTTTGATAGAAATTATGCTGAACCCATAGATCGTTTTTGGTAGTAGTAGTTTATACTACTTACAGCCGGTATATCCAAGAACAGAATGCTGCCTACATTTCTCCATGCTGAATTCCCCCCAGATGCACTGTGGGTGGGGGACTACAGTGTCTAATGGCTTGATCCTTGTAGAGTGGGAGTGGTAGGCAAGATTTTTGCCTTTATGGTCCTAAATTTAAAGTAGAGACAAGAAACGAGGGCCTCTGTCAGTAATCACCCAAGTAGAACTGCTCTTCCTGGAGATAAAGGAGTTAATGTCTAACGAATTCTTAAGTGTGTCTTGCAGAGCAACATCTCAGAAGCAGCTCTTTCCAACCCTTCAGCCTGTAACCAGCTACACCATTTAAGCTCCCTTTAGTTACATTTCTTTCTTTATTTCTTTTTCTCTTTAATCACATAGCTTCCCAGCTTCATGTAGCCCAGTTGTTTTACAGGAAATTGGAGTTAGACCTGGTCCAGTGCCAGCCAGCTAAGCTGGTTGGGACCACTGACCCCCAAACTGGGCCTGGACAGGTGTTTGATGAGGGGCCTTTGACATCTGATGGCAGGAAAATGGTGCCCTCCCATCATGTTCAGCGCCTGTGAGACAGGAGGGCAGGGGCAGGAACAAGCATTAAGAAATGACAGAGCGATTAGCGTCAAGATGCCGGAAGATTCACCTCCCAGTAGACCTCGAGGCACAAGATGTCTGGAGATTTGACTTCCAGCAGACCTTGAGCTTCATTATTGGCTGATTGTTTTCCCTTAGTAGCTCGATGACACACCCAAAGGCGCCATAGCAGTTCTGAGGCTGACCAAAAGAAGTCCAAAAGTGGGTAGTGGCCTGGCTCCTGGGAATCCCAGGCCTTCCCTCAAAGTCCTTGGAATAAAAAGTCCTCCCCCTTGTTAGCACACAAAGCCAATAAGCACTAACAACCCCTCACCTCGTGGTCTTTCTCTTGCCTGTAGAGAAGGCTTGCATTCTGTCCATGGAGCGAGCATCTCTCTGAATAAATCTACATTCACTCCATTATGGCTTGGTCTTGAATTCTGTCCTGCAGGAAGCCAAGGACCCTCACCTGATGAGGTGCTTCCCAGGGATTCACTTAGGACCTGGGACATGGCCATCTTTGTGTGCCCTGTTTTCTTGTATCATCTGGAGGGTGAATCTGCAGAGACATGTGACCCAGATGCACCTGTCTAAGACACTGATTACCTCACCTTCCCCACCTCCAGTCACCCTGCACCAAGTCTAGGGCCACCCTGCTTCTCCCATAAACATCCCCACCCCTGGCCTCCGGGAAGGTGGATCTGAGACCTCTTCTCCCATCCCCTGGCTTGGCTGCCTCGTGAATAAACTCTCTCTGCCACAAACCTCTTCAGCGTCTCAGTGTCTGACTTACTTTGGGTCTGCCAAAAGATTTGGTTCAGCAACAAAATTCTGGTCATTTGGGGCTCATTGTCACAGGACTTCTTGTCTGCCTCCTGGGTTGTTAACAGACAGCAATGTGACTTCTCACAAGGCTGCCTAAGGCCGGCTGGCTTCCTGGACTGGCTACTGGGACAAGGGGTTGGTTTCCTGGGCAGGCTGCTGCAGCCTGCGGGTCAGAGCCCCATCTTCATCTGTGATCTGACCACCGTCTCTGTGCATATTAAGTCTCGCACAGCTTACTCTGTCCTGTGGGGCCTTCCTACCTCCTCTGCCCGCCAGCATTGAAGACCTGCTTCTACAAGTGATATCTGTCTTGTTCACAGTCTGGGGCTATGCATTGCTTGAATCTGGTCCCTCCCCATCCACCCCCATCTCTTCCCTCCCACATCCTGTTGAAACTACCCTAGGATTCCTCACCAACATGGACCTGCTCCTTTGGGGTGGGAGTCAAAGGTGCAGTGATAAGAGGGAGGACTGTCCTGGAGAAGGTATCCACTGGTACGGTAAACAAATGTGGAGTTCCCAACTTGTTTCTACCCCCTTGAGGCCCTAAATGCCTCTTTGGTCATGCATAATGACATGGCGTAATGGTTGTCTACAGTTACATTACAAATTTCACTCCCAAAATTTCTTGTTTCACTATTTCTTTGGATCAGGAAGTCACAACAGCCCTGGTCTGGTGCCTCTGGCTCAGGGTCTGTCCTGAAGTTGCAGTCCAGCTGTGGACCAAGCAGCTGCCCTCTTGGCTCAAGGCTCAGCTGGGGGAGGGTTCACTTCCTTGGAGCAGTGAGCAGTGGCTGGCAGGTCATTGTGATGCAGCAGAGAGAACAGGACAGCTTGTGGAAGTGCAGAGAGAACTGTTTTCCTTTCTCTCTAGATGTGTGCTTTGGGCAAAAGAGTCGACCTCTTTGAGCTCCATTCTGAACTGATTTATTGTTGCGAGATTAGAGACCATGTGGGTAGACAATTTAGCCCAGTACGTTTTGTGATCATTCCATGGACTCCTCAAACACAAGAGATGACAATTTTAACACAGAGCTACTGTGCTGGGGGTCCGTCCACTTCCTATTCTGTGACACAGAGCCCAGTTGCAGCCAGCGGA